TCTTTGTAGTTATAATTTAGGCCTTTGATGAGAATTTCTTGTTCCGTACCACTGAGTGGCCGTTTTGACAGTTTCCTGATCCAACCATTGTTGATGTATTCGTCTGTGCTGGTTGTCAGTTTAGTCAACTTCTGGTGAAGTGCAGTCTGCTTTTGTGTTTTTAGCTCTGCGCTCTATTGCGAGTTGCACTTGTTCAGTCAGTTGTTGCCCAATTGTTTGTAAACAATTGGTTCGATGTTCGTTTAGACAACGTTCATATTTTCGGATACGGTTGTGGGCGTCTGTGATCATCATTCGTACCATACGCTTTCCGAATTGCCGCACAATTGTCCATGCCTGTGGATGGTTCATCGATTCATCCATTATTGGGTTTGCTTTCTGCCAGCTACTGCTCCTTAACTGCTATCAATCCCGCACTGAAGATGCCACCTGGAATGGTGGCGAAACGTTTGCAGCCAAGTTGCCCAGCTCGGAGAACTCCACAACAATTGAAGAATGGAGAGGCTGGGCAACCCTGTCTAACACCGCTAGTGACACTGAAAGGAGGAGAAATGTCTCCGTATGCTGGCACGTGGCCCGAAGTTCAATGGTAAATAGCGCGGAGAATGCTGATGTACTTCTCACGTTCTTTCCTCTTCAGTAAGCAGTCCCAAAGAGCCACTCTGTCAACAGAGTCAAAAACGGCTCTGATGTCTAAGAATATGACTATAATTGGTCAACTGAACGTATGGTGATGTTCAAGTATCTGGCGGTTAATGAAGATGTGAGCGACGCAACTGCGACCCGGGCGAAATCCAGCTTGTTATTCACGCAAGTGATGTTCCCGTACGCAACTGATCCTCCGCAAGAGTATGGCAGCGAGCAGTTTGGATGCGACACAAATGAGACTGATGCCACGATGGTCGGAGCAAATGGTCCGGTCTGCTTTTTGTAAACAGGTCCAACATCCGCTAAATTCCAGTCGGATGGAATGGTTTCAGTAGTCCCACTCTGATGGAGTAGAGATGTCGGTTCGGGAGTGAGAGCAGGACTTCCATATTTGAAGAGGACATGAGGAAGTTCATCTAGGCCACGTGACCTATGGCGCTTCAGTAGTCGAAGCTCGTTGGAAACCTCAGCCTCTGTCGGTGGAGAAACATCCCCGCACCAGCGAGCACTGTGAGCCCCGGAAGATGGACTCAGTTGCGCTGGTGGTCAGTTGAACTGATCTTCAAAGTGCTCTGCCCATCGTACTAGATGACGGTGATGACTGTGCATTAGTTCGCCGGCATTTTCACGCAAAACCTCCCTCACTGTTGGTTTTCTGCCTCCCGTGGAGCGGATAAGCTGGAAAAGTTTGCGGGAGTTTCCTGATGAGTCTGCCCGCTCCATCTCAACGACGTGCTGTGTCCACCAAACCTCACGATCCTTCCTGAGGAGCTGTCTGAACTCAGCACTGGTTCTGCGTAGTGCGTTGTACTTAACTCCGGCGGGAATTGTTCGACAACTTTCCATTAATTGGAGAGACTATGCGGAGATCCAATGACTAACAGCTCGTCTAGTGAAGCCACAGACCAGGGTAGCGAACTTTCGTAAGGCGCTCTGGGTATGTGCCCAGTGTGTCTCAACATCGGAGGATAGTGAATGCACGTTGGAGGCTAATGAGTTATAAAATGCGCCAAGAACATTTGGGGCGGCGAGCTTGTCTGTGTCAAGCCGTTTCCGGCGACGCTGTTGGGTGCCTCCAAAGCGCAGAACGAACTTAGCACCCACGAGCGCATGATCCGAAGTCAGCTAAGTGTTCCAAATGGACTTGCAGTCCGTTATGCTGCCTCGCCAACGGTAACTAACAGTGATGTGGTCAATTTGCGTCCAAGATTGACCAGGTGCCGGAGGTCACCAGGTGGCTCGTTGGCACCAGGAACGTCGGAAGTTGGTACTGGAGAGGAACAAGCCTTGGTCGTCGCACAGTTGAAAGAGTCGATCGCCGTTGTCCCTTCTGAGAGTACCGTGACTGTGTTGACCCCAAAGTTCGCGCTCATGAACCTCTAGTCTACCGACCTGCGCATTTAGGTCACCGGCGAGTATCACGATGTCCGTGCGACTTTCCTTGCGGAAGAGGTCGGTGAGTTGGCGGTAGAACTCGTCTTTAGCTTCGTCCACGCTGCAGTCCGTAGGAGCGTACGCCGCCACAATGGATTAACAGCGCCTACTGATCCCGTGGCTGGAAGATCGCACTGAGCTTTACAAGCGGACTGCACAAAGACGGCTGTTGACCGAGAACCAGTCAATGAGCGCTGCCTCAGCACGCGCACCTAACGCAACTCCTATGCCGGCGCAACCAGAGGCTGCCGCTATCACATCTCCCGATAAGCGCAAGGTGATTATGCAATTGGAACTTGGGGATGGTGAGAGCAATCGCAGCGTTGTGCTGGAGTCTTGTAAATGGGTTTCGGTTAGGCAGTAAACGTCGTTTGAGAAGGTTTCCAAGGTGCGCGCAAGAGCAGCTTGTGAACCAATGTGCATGAGCGTTGGAACATTAAACGTCATTAGCTTGAAGAGCTAGTGGGGTGCAATAAAAGCCTTGCTGTTGGTATTGGAATGTGTTCGATCAGTTTTGAGTGGTTCATTGAGGAGACCAAAGGTATCGTTTTTATTTGCAATGCACTTTTGGAGAGTCGAAATTGGTGGAGGTTTCCGAGAAAACTAGGGTTGCATAAACGTGAAATGAAGAACGTGGTTTACGGTGCGGTAGAGTAAGGGTTGGCATACCCGGCAGCCAGCACCCCGGCCAAAGAGAAAGTTCAGAGAGCGAGAAACGTGAGCAGCCAGTTGTAAACCCATCATTTCATGTGTTGTGTGGGCATACAGTCTCCCAGTTGCCCAGTCCGAGGAAGGGGGTTGACTTAGGGGCCCCACCCGGAGCCTTTGTTCATAGGGACCTGACCTGCAAGGCAGCGGGGCGAATTCGGGGAATCGCGCCCATTGCGAGTCGGTGACCGATTATTCGGTTCATACGCCTTTCATTTGGTTGGTTGCCAAACAGGGGCCCAATACTCCCAGTAATTCAGCGTCAAGCTGAAGGATTACAATGCTCCAGCGAGGTGAAGCAAGGTACCGTGACTTTATTTAGTGGCGAGTCACATCTACCACGTCGCGGTCTTGTTAAACGGACATATGTGGCTTTTTATAGGGAGAACGCTTGCGAGGCGAAAACCCACCTCGAAAACCGACGCCGAATCTTTCACTGGAGCGGGATACTTCCGAACCACCCAGCTGGCACCACGGGGAGGCAGTTCGGCAAGCCAGCTTCTCGATAGTGTGTACTCTGAGATCTGATCTCCATAAAAGATAGCGCCGTACCCAGTCGTAGTTCCATAGTGATCGGCCAAAGAAAACTGATATTCTGGGATATGAACTTTGCCATCATCAGCATCCGGGGTTAGTCAGGACTCAGTACAATCGAGAGGGTCTATGTGAAGCTCCAAAATGCGCGTGACAACCTCCCCCATTTGTTCCTCATGCTGCAAAAACTTGCTGACATCACTCGCAGCCACTGTACTAGCCTTGATCTTGCGATCCCAACAGGACAGGGATAGGCCTCCATTGCGTTCGCGGAGTTCTCTGCACAACACGAATATAAACGATGTAGTGGTGTATTCCACCGTTTCTCATCGAGTTCTAAGCTCAAGGACTACCGCTATCATGTTAACACGACCTTCGATGCAGAGATCTCAGAAAATAAAATGTTTTCCTCCTGAGCCGCAAAGTCAGCTTAAGGATGCGGTGGCGATCTGCATCCTTTTGCCAGACTATTTTAAGGGGACAAACATTAAAAGAATCGCCTTCCGCCGACGCGAAAGGCGAAAACGATTTTTATCCCAGTATCTCCATCATAAAACAGTAGCATAAACGTGCGCCGTAGACACGCCTGGTCGTCCATTATCCTCTCTGGTGTTTGTTTGTTACATTCATGCACACTGACAATAATCATACAGCTTGTAAGGAGATCTGTTTCCCTCGGAAATGATCGGCTTTGGGGGCTGAGGAAGCCGCAGTGCCACAAAAGGTAACTATTGTCTTTAAAGTACAATTTTAACGTAGATCAATTGTTCATTGCTTTTGTTTGTTTTAATTCCCTTACACCACGGCCATATTGACCTATATCCGGCTCCAGACTCGTCTACACTGTGACTTACTATGCTGACGCTTTCTCCTGTCTCACCTCAGGAAAAACGAATAGCCCGCATACTAGCGACCAACGCATCCATCAATAACAACACAGTTCGTCTGTTTTACGCTAAAGGTCGAAGTCCTTCCATCACTGTCTCATCGACACCGTAGCGGAAGTGTGCATCATTCTGGCGAACGCGAACTACATACACTCAAAGCCCAAGTACAACCTGCGTACGGCCAACCGTACTCCGATAGCTTCATTCGGTTATCACATGGTTCACCTGGACCTCCACCTCCGCCGAGATTTTCAGTGGGTTTTCACGGTTTCGTTTCCACCCTTCGCATTTATCGGTATCGACTTTCTCGGCCATTTTAGATTGATTGTTGATTCTGGTTTCCACAGACTTTTAAACAACCGTTCCATGTGTCATCATGGTTGTACGACAGCGAAACATCAGTCCGAATGGCTGATGTGCTGCTGTTTTTGATGATGATGGCGTCATCACCAACCAAAAATCACCGACTTATGCGCTTGGCTCGACTACCGGCTGACACTTTCCTAGGGAATCGCGCTACCGAGACTAAATCGCTCAGTTTACCATCCATATACGAAATATCTCAGGTGCGCACAACCTCTTCGCCGACACACTTTCTCGAATCCAAGCGATCGCCGCTACAGCCGGCACTGCTATCGACTTAGCATACATGGCTGCAGCACAACTCAGTTATCCTGTGGTTGAACCACTATGCAGTTCCCTCTCACTGGACATACGACTCGTTCCGCTGACATCTTCAGACAGATCCATACGGCATATCTCCGAGTACGCCGCGCCCAGTCGTATCACGCGAATTTCGATAGGCTGTGTTCAACACGCTGCATAGTTCATCTCACTTACATAAACAGACCAATGGAATGATACCAGGTAACTTCAGAAACATGCAAAAAGTAATTTCTTTAGAACAGTGAAATGTTATAAGTACTTTTGTGGATTAAGGAGTTACTGGTTGAGCGCCTGCTGCTAAAGTGTGCGTATGGACTCAAATATCGCTTTTGCTTCACCATCATCATCAAGGGACATGTTCAGTTGTACATAAGCGAGCGTCTTGACATCTATTTCAGTGCACTTTGCAACACAAAACCCACGGTCTCATGGGATCTCGCATTCCATGCAAAACGACACTGCACGCGTATCCGAAGTCCAGACGCATTGCATTCGTGGATAGTAGTGCCTCTTCTGACACGTTGTATTGTATGTTCTTCACAGGATTAAGATAGAAAAAGAAGCCTGTATCTTCATCGAAACGCATCGCATCGTAGAAGCAATAATCGGGATAGTCCATCTTGATATAAGTCCATGTGGATGGGAAGCAAAGTGTAAGCAAGACAAGCACTCCATTGATAAGCCGAAACCACATGGTGCAGTTACACGTTCATGGTTACCTGCATCAAGTAAACAGAAAGTTATAATGAGGGAAAATAGGTTGATTCATCACTTATGTTAATATGACTTTTCTTCACAGATAAAGTGTACCGAATGGATGCTGTAATCTTGGCCGAATTCTTTCAAAACGCTGATTGTATGTTGTTGGTCGATAGCCTACTGATAAGTTTGGCACGGTTTGCTATCGACATCATCCCAGATTCTATCAGCATTCACTACATGACCGTGATCATTACGGTTAGACACTTTATAGGGGTGCTTACCAGTGATGTAACTTGTCTGCATCATGCTTCATCGCTTTATTTTCTCTAAACTGACTCAACTACGATCCCCGTTTCACTAGTTCAGTTGTATATGATGGGATAACGAAGCAAGTTTTACAAGGCCTATAGGACGGTAAGTGCAAAAGAAATTCACCAAGAAATGTTGCGGCTTGGAACGTAAAATATTACGATTCATAGTTAGTGTGGGATTCTGTGCCGCCTATCTATCGTCGAAAGTTCGCTGGTTTCTCTAGTTCCATTATCAATTCTACAGTTTTATAGGTCGTTGAGTTTCGCTTTGATTTTTTGGAGCCCACAGACTATTTATGAGGTCGGTATTCAATCACGTGATATGCCCGGCGATCCACTTCATAAATCGAAAGGTTCAGGTCTAAAGAAATTAACGCTATCTGATCATTGACTTGTACCCAGTCATCGCATCTGGTCGGAATCATCCATCGTCTCTCGAGCCACGCGTTGTATCGGCTACTGGAAATGACTGGGAATAGATGATGGAGTAATACAGTTCCTGGTAACCGTCTAACAATTAAGGGACCCGCCCTTTTTATATAGTACACACATGTGAACTGAGTCTATTGCTTAACTGTTCAATTTTAGGTTGAATTTTAGTATACACATGTAAGAAGTATGTCCATTTACTGCGTTCATCCGCTTCATCACTTGACTGTTCCAATACTAAGACACCATACATCTAATTTAACTTGTGGGAGTGGATGCGCTGTGTTAATTATTCCCGTTCCTTGCTTTCACTATTTGTGTGTGTGTGTGTGTGGTGGGATTGGGGTCCACGAGCTGTTATACCTTATTGCTTCAGTGGAGTTTGATTGAGATGACTGACTTGTGCTTGGCTTTTATAGCCGAGAGAAATACCCTATTGATTGTCCAGGAGACTATCGATCATTGCAGAGAACGATCTTGGTGTAAATATGAGGTTCACAAAGTGGCTGAAGCATGGAACGGGCTGCACAACAGGCAGTAGCTTGTCTACGTCCAGTAGGCAATTGTTTCGTTATGTTACCTAAAAGCTGTGTGTTGATAAGCATCTCATCCAACTCTGGACAAATCGCGGTGACCATCAGTATGCATTCAATCCTCATAAGTTTGTGTTCACCGTGTATAAGCGAAGATTGAGTAACATTGTTGGTAATACATCACAGCTTGTATACTGTGACTGTACATACACAGGCCTCCTATTGCTATTGACAGTAAGTTAACGAATAACTCTGGAATCCGACGCCTTCAGTGATCGAGTAATTAAACCATAGGCTGAAGCCATTGAGATGCTGCGTCACTGAAGCGGGTTATATAAGTTCCAGTAGAAGGGAACTATGACATAAGTGAAGAACATCCAGTTGGACTGCGCCTCGAACTGTCGACGAATAAAACGTTTCACCCTAGAATCTGAACGCAATGGCACGATGTCCTTCCTAGACGTCCAGATTAGTTGCAGACCGGGTAGATCGATCCAACGGAGCTCGCATAGAAAAGCAACGTGGAATGGTCAGTATATACACTTTACCAGCTCTGCCCCAATAAATCAGAAACGCAACTTGCTTAGATGTCTAACCGCAAGGGCCAGAAGGTTTTGTACTGATGATACGCTTGCGGACGAGCTCGGTATCCTAAGTGGTCTTTTCGTGAGAAATGGCTATCCAGAAACGTTTTCGGAAAAATATGGAGTGCCTTGAACTGAGAGCTAAGCCAGCTTCGGTAGAAAAGAAACCGGTTTATTTGTCGTTACCGTTCAAAGGGGATAGAATGATGCAGACAACGTCTAGGTTATCCGAAGCTATGTACCATACCTACTACTTGTCGTGTAGCCCTCCGGGAACAATAAACAATGACTTATCACGGGTAAAACAGCATGTACTTGACGAGTCCCGTAGGATGGTTGGAGTAAAAATTAAAATTTAAAGGATCACAGAATAAGCAAATCGTTATATACCATTTTCACTTTAAACTAGACATTTTTCAAACCAAACTGGACATTTTGCAAACCAAAGTGGACATTTTGCAAACCAAACTGGACATTTTGCAAACCAAACTGGACATTTTGCAAACCAAACTGGACATTTTGCAAACCACATTGGACATTTTGCAAACCACATTGGACGTTTTGCAAACCAAACTGGACATTTTGCAAACCAAAGTGGACATTTTGCAAAACAAATTGGACACGTTGCAATCAAAGTAGCAACTCGCCAATTTGTTGGTAAGAAACGAGCAGTAAGACTGCTGAATGATGTTCAGCATATACATTGTGATGACGCTAATACACCGGCATTGTGTAAGCAGCGGGCTACACTGTAAAACATTTGCTTGATCGTGAGCAGCGACCGAAGTTCTGAACTACGCTCCCCTCTCCCCATTGACATTCGCCTAGTTGGTGTGCAGTGCCCATACGCATCAACCTGTGTTGGTGTGTGACAATTGGAAAATCGGACTTCCGAATCGTAATTGTGTATCAATCATTTTGTGAGTGGATTGCGATGCGCAATCTCAATGTGCACCGTTATTCTCATTAGAGAGAACCTTGTCCGATTCGGTCAATGGGACCATGTCGGATGAAGCAGGTAGGCGGTGTCCCAGCTTCGCCCGTCTCTATATTAGCTTTCGCACCTGCCACGTTATTGTATCAGCGTAGGCTGTAATGACCCCCAGCAAAACCAGTCTAGAGCTATAGCCTATTGTTGCAACATATTAACTACTGAGGAGTGGGCCGATTACATGATGTTCAGGCCACATTGTGGTCACGATAATGTAACCGAACTGCGTACGTAGCGGGTGATTGTGTAAGCCCTTCTCTTGACATGAGTGCCGTTCGCCTCGGTCAAAATCGGTGACATAATTTCTTCTCCCCCCCCCCCCCCATAGGAATTCGTGTGTTTTGTCTGGGTGTGTGGACCGACCTATGCAGCGGTACCACTATTGGAGCCGAGCATACGATAACGGTTCCACTCAACCCAACTTAGCTTTATTATCTCCGTGCCGCACGAAACGACCAAAATGAGTGACGAACAACAGGAGAGCTGGTGTCCGACGCGACGGCACTGCAGGCGAACATCATTTGCGCAAAGAGAAATTCTCACAAAACTTGTGCTGGTCGACGGCAAAACTACTCGGGAAGCCGCTGAAGTCGCCGGTGTTAACGCGAGTACGGCAAGGAACATCATTAATGCCTACAAGCGAGAAGGCTCAAATACACAGCGCACCTGCGGTGGAAACAATAGGGAGAAGCTGACTCCCAATGTATTGCAGCGTGTCGAAGAAGCGGTTGAACGGCACTCTGAGGACACGTTGGTGCAGCTGCAGATGCGCCTGAGAGAGGATGGGATAAACCTATCAGTATCCTCTGTCTTCAACGCCCTCAGAAGACTAAAGATAACTCTCAAAAAGTGTCATTACGAGCTCGACCGAGTCAACAGTGCCACGACAATCGCAAGCCGACAGGCGTACGCTCTCGAATTCTCGGTGACCGTCCTGCTCTTACACGCTAAGCCAACTGTTAATATTGAAAACGCACATTTTGAAATTGAAATGGTGTATTAACAAAAAATAAGGCAGTAACCATAGCAAAGATCATTTGACGAAGGGTTGTCCGGCTGTCGCTTTCGTCAGGTTCATCATTGTATTGAGAACGCAGTTCATGCAGTCCTGCTGCGTTACCATCCCAACGCTGTCCTGAATGACCGTGCTCAGCGTCTGCTCAGGTGTGGGGTTAATAAGCAGGCGTCTCGCCGACGCTTTCACCTTTGAAAAGACGTGTTCTACCGGGTTTAGCATGTACGAGTAGGGCGGCAAGAACTGCAGGTGATAAGACGAACCAAGGATCCTCCTTAGCTCATCAGGCATATGGATCCTGGCATTGTCCATGATCAGCCACGCGCCGTTCATCTCCACTATGCAGCTTATACGCGCCACCAGTTCCTCGACGAAAGCTGAGAACTTCGCACCATTGCAAGTGCCGTCGTTAATGATCTTTGAATGGATGACGCCTTGGTTATTCATTGCAACAATCAGGGTTACCATGCGACCTCTGACTGTGGGTAACACGACGTTCGCGCGCGTCCCTCTTCTTGAGCGAGCCTGAGTTCGCCTCAGATGAAGGTTGAAACCACTCTCATCTATGAAGATGCATTTCTCCTTGTTAGAAGGTGCATGTGCCGAGAACTCGAGAGCGTACGCCTGTCGGCTTGCGATTGTCGTGGCACTGTTGACTCGGTCGAGCTCGCAATGACACTTTTTGAGAGTTATCTTTAGTCTTCTGAGGGCGTTGAAGACAGAGGATACTGATAGGTTTATCCCATCCTCTCTCAGGCGCATCTGCAGCTGCACCAACGTGTCCTCAGAGTGCCGTTCAACCGCTTCTTCGACACGCTGCAACACATTGGGAGTCAGCTTCTCCCTATTGTTTCCACCGCAGGTGCGCTGTGTATTTGAGCCTTCTCGCTTGTAGGCATTAATGATGTTCCTTGCCGTACTCGCGTTAACACCGGCGACTTCAGCGGCTTCCCGAGTAGTTTTGCCGTCGACCAGCACAAGTTTTGTGAGAATTTCTCTTTGCGCAAATGATGTTCGCCTGCAGTGCCGTCGCGTCGGACACCAGCTCTCCTGTTGTTCGTCACTCATTTTGGTCGTTTCGTGCGGCACGGAGCTAATAAAGCTAAGTTGGGTTGAGTGGAACCGTTATCGTATGCTCGGCTCCAATAGTGGTACCGCT